CTCACAGACAGAAGCATTGCATTCTGAATACTGGGAAAACCAAATGTTCCTGGAAGTTTCCATTCAAAGGTATCAACATCCCCTGGGGCAGGAAGACCAAAAAGAGCAGTCTGGAGTTACGAACATTCATTAACTTGAGGCCTTACATATGTGGGCCCTGTGGAGATGAAACCCCGGCCACTGAGGGCAGAGGGCTGCTTGGCTATGCTGGGAGCAGGTTCTCTGTTGGGTGTTCTGATCTTTCTGGATCAGCACAATCAATCTAGTTCTAGGTGTGTGGGCAAAACAGCAAACTGGATTCAGTGACTGCTGTTGAGAAAAACTGGAGATTAGATGGAAGGGGCTCTGCGTCTGTTCTGCTTCCTGCCTAGCCAAAGACTCATAGTAACTACTCTGTAGAGACTGACAGGCTTTCCTGGGGAAGCAGGGGTAGAGTGTTTAAAGCACCAGCATCTCATAAAAGCAAATGTGGGGGGTTAGATTTGGAGATACACACAGGTTTGGGGGACTAAGCTGATAACGGAAAAATTCTACAGGGGGAAAGACACAAGTTCATTAACCCGTGGGAACACAGGGCCATCCATAAAGCTTGAGACCAGCAAGAGGCCAAAGTAGTTAGTTTACCTTCCCTTTTCACATGGGGGAGGCAGATGGGAATAGAGATTTTGAGGGCCCCACAATGGGTATTAGGAGAAGACACCAAGAGACAGAGAGCCCCGTAAGAAGATTGCCTTTTGAAACTGAATGAGCTTGAGGGCCTAACAAGGCCTGGCCAGGTGTGCTTAGAACCTCAGCCTTCCTTTCTGAAACACATAATAAGATTTCAGGATATGGTGGGAGGCAATTATCTTCTCTCTGAATTGACCCAGAGGAGGAAGACAAAGTCAGAGGGACTTCAAATCTGAGGCAGCTTCTCGGGTCTCAGGATATCAGAGCCAGGATGTCATTCTCTGAGCCCCAACAGCAGTCACAGATTAGTAACTGCACTTGGGGATGAGGGTCTGAGTTGTCCCATTTCTTCTTCATTTGCAAAGAGCTGAGTAGAAAGAAGTATGAATGGGAAAGCAAGGGCTGCAGTAACAATTCCTGATTGCTCAATCGATACTGGTTTGATTAGTGTCCTGTGTAACATGTCATGAATCCTTCCATCTCTTTTGGTTACAGTTTGCTCACTGCTAAAGAGCTTAGTCTTTAAAATAAAATAATGTGGGAGGCTGGGGATGTGACTTAATAGGAATGGTTTGCCCAGCATGCATGATGTTCTTGGTTCAATTCTTTATCTCTCTCTCTCTCTCTCTCTCTCTCAGACACACACACACAAAGTAGGTTCATTACATATTGACACTATATGATGTTGGGACAACCAAAGAAACCAAAGTTTAGATTTAACTGTTTATAGATTCCTTACTTATTAAATGTCTGCCTCACTTTTCTCATCTGTATAATGGTAATGTAATAAACTCTTCCTCATAGGATTGTTTAGAGATTTAAGTAGTGTGCAGCACTCTTAATGAACATGGAACCTGGACAAGGGTATACTTGTTTCAGCTCTTTTCATCCCAATCTACATCATTAAGATTGGGGAGGGGTTCAGAGAGGATGAGACTGTAATTCCTGTCCTGCTCCTGCTCACAAGCTAGGAAGGAAACACTGAAAGGGTGCTGATGTGGTGCTTGTGATTCAGAACAGAAGATAGCTTAGTGCTGTGATAGGAGCTCAAAACTGGTATGAGAACCTGGAAAGGAAAGCGCATTCTCCCTGGGAATGTAGAAGGATCTGTGAGGCCAAGATTTTCATGTAATATGTCATTGCTGTCTTCTACTTGGCACTACTTTCTGAGGACCTTGCACATCATCAGCATCAGAGGGAAGGAGAAAGCCCAGCATGGCCGAGTGGGGTTCTCTGAGCAGGAGGATCCCAGAGCCCACAGTTTAGTGCTTGCACTGGTAACTTTTCTGTTGCCGTGATAGAACACCATGACCAAGGCAACTTATAGAAGAGTTTATTCAGCTTACAGTTCCAGAGGGATAAGAGTCCATCCCAGCAACAGTCCAGCAACATGCCAGAGTAGAAAGCTGAGTGCTCAGGTCTTCAAGCGGACATAGGAAGCAGAGAGAGAGAGAGAGAGAGAGAGAGAGAGAGAGAGAGAGAGACTGGAAGTGGGTAAGCGCTGTACTCTCAAAGCCCACCCCAGTGACGTGCTTCCTCCAACATGGCCATACGTCCTCAAGATCCTATGACACCCCCACCAAACAGTGCCACCAACTGACCAACTGTTCAATTACTTGGAGTCTATGGGGGACAGTCTTCATTCAAACCATCAATGTGCCCTCTCCAAAAGAGAAGACAGGGGAAGTCAGAAGTCAGAGCTCTGGGAGAGATGCTACTCCCCCCGGCCCCGCCGCCCAGCTCTCAGAGACAGAAGCAGGACTACTTGATGGGCACGCTCCAGTGCACAGTGAATACAAGGGCCCCTTGTAAAAAATATCTATGAAGAATCTGTATATATATTGATACAGCATTAAACCAAGAGCAAGGCCCTTGTGTGTACAAGGCCCGGGGAGAACACACGGGTCGCATGTCCAGAAAGCTGCCCTTCAAAAGATCACCCTGGGAGAGACTGGTGAGCTATCTCAGTGGTTAAGAGCATTTGCTGCTCTTGAGAGAACCCGGGTTCAGTTCCCAGCACCCACATGGTGGCTCACAACCATTTGTAACTCTAGTTTCAAGGGATCCCACACCCTCTTCTGGACTCTGAGGGTACCAGATACTCATGTGGTGAACATATATGCATGTAGGCAACACATACACATAAAATAAAAGTTAAGAAAAAGAAATTTCTTTTAAAAAAGAGAGACTACCTTGATAGCCTCCATGAAGGAAATGTACAAAAATGGGTACAGGCTAGGTATCAGGGAATTATATTTTCGAATATTGACTGTGTGCCAGGCCCTATCCTAAGTATTTTATGTGTGTTTACTCACCTATTACCACAAGGTGAGACTTATTATTATCTCTATTTCAGAGACAAAGAGATTGGGGCTCAGAGAGATCTCAAGCACTTGTCCTAGGTCACAGAGCTGTTAGATGGGATCAAGATTTCCAAACCCTGTCCACTGAGACCCAGAGTCCATGCTTTTAACCACAATGACACTATTTCGATCAACACAAAAACCCCTTCTTCAGGTGTCCCAGTCCGTATCCCATGAGTGTCCTAATACAAGAAAAGACTAGAAACCAGTTTGCTCACTCCCATACCTTAACCGGAAACCGTATGTATATTCTAATACCTAACTTACTTTTTGGTTCCTCTTGACCCCTACAAATTAGGATGCTTACTTAAAGAGGATGCAAGGGACCAAACAACAAGAAAATTTGAACTAGGCACCATGGCATATGCCTTTAATCCTAGCACTTGGGAGGTGGAGGCAGCAGAACTGGGATTTTGAAATCCTCTGCAGCTACACAGGGTGTTTGAGACTATCCTGGGCTACAGAAACATGGGTAACACATTGGCCTATATACTTATGGTTGTCATACATATTTCCCCACATATGCCTACTATGAACCAACTATATCTGTTTCAAAAAGTTCTCCACATCACTGGAACTTCCTTGATAGCACATTTCTTTTCTTTTTCCATTTGTGCATATATGTTGGGGGAGGTACATGTGTGTCTGCATATTTGCATGTGTGTGAGCACGAGTGTGGATGTGTACTTACTGTGTGGAGGTTCACATGTGGAGGTCCACATACATGTGGAGGTCTAAGGTTGATGTCAGGAATCATCCTAGGTCACTCTTCCAACTTATTCATTGAGGCAGGGTCTTGAAATCAAACCCAGAGGTCCCTGATATGACTAATCTCCCTAGCTGGCTCAGTCTGGTGGTCTCCCATCTCTGCCTTCCAAGGCTAGAATTACAGGTGGACCACCATGCCCACCTGGGATTTATGTGGGTTCTGGGGATTTGAACCTCAGTCCTCACACTTGCACGGCAAGCACTTTAATCACTGAGCTATCTCCCCATCCTTGATAGCACCATTTTTTAAAATTATTTATTTAATAACCACATAATTAGAAGAAGCATTTCATTATATCATTGACATATTCAATAACAATTTCCAGAGCTAAGATGCATCTCTTTCAAAATTGGACAGCACCATTTTTAACAGCTATGTGATATAGAATAGTGTTCATGTGTGGTAAAATATTTGTCCACTCATGAATTTCCATGCACTGGTGTCATGAAGCATTTTTTAAGTTATTCTAAATAGTCATGTGATCCTAAATGCTTACTTGAAACTTTACATACATTTGTGATTATTTCCTAAGGGTCCCTAGAAATAGACTAGAGGGTCAAAGGGGAAACTACGTTTACTTCAGAAATGTTAAGATAAGAGGAGGGTAAGAGAGCTCAGTCAGTAGAAATGTTAAGGTAAGAGGAGGGTAAGAGAGCTCAGTCAGTAGAAATGTTAAGGTAAGAGGAGGGTAAGAGAGCTCAGTCAGTAGAGTACTTGACATACAAGCATAAATACCTGAGTTCAATTCCTAGAACCCACGTAAAAAACCAAATGTGGTGGCACGTGCTTGTAATCCTAGAGCTGGAGAGCTGGAGTCAGGAAGATCCCTGGGGCGTGCTGGCCAGCCAGTCTAGTTGAATCAGTGAGCCTCCCATTCCGGTAAGAGGCCGTGTCTTGACAAATAAGGTAGATAACTCCTGAGGTACAATACTTGAGGTTGACCTCTGGCCTCCACTCACACACATGCACATAAGTGCATACTCATCTGTATACACATGTGCACCCACTCACATGTGAATACACCCATATCCACCCAAACACCCTCCATATATACAAAAAGAAATGTAAGATAAAGTAAGGGCAGTGGCCACATGCACAAGTACTTGATATGCACAGCCAGCCTTGGCATCATGACCTTAACACTTCTAAGGATTTGTTTCCTGCCTTCACACCACCTCTGTCTTGTCATCTCTGTTTAGATTGTGGCCAAGAAATACCGCAACTATGTCTTTCCATCCGAGATGACAGGCCTGTGGAGGTACCTCAAGAATGCCTACGCCCGGGATGAGTTCGCCAACACCTGTGCTGCCGACAGTGAGATTGAGCTGGCCTATGCGGATGTCGCCAGGCGCCTCAGCCGATCCTGAGCTTGGCCATCTGGTCCATTTCTACTGCAGAACTTCACTTCTCCCAAATTTCTCTGACTCTACAGAGTCCTCTTCCTTGGGAAAACCTCTTTTTTTTTTTTTTTTTTTTTCAATTAAACCACTTCTTGCTGGTACCCCTGAACTCAACTCCAGCCTGCTGCCTTTTGAAGATCAGCACCATCCTTCTGCCTGGTCGGGCAGGAGCCTGGAAAACAGAGAGGATACAGCAGTTAACCTGTCCACTTCTGTTGTAATCTGGGTCTGTGTATTTGGGGTCAGTTTGGAGAGTTTTCATGGGATTATCACTGATCTCTTCTGCCAACATCAAAATGCCTTCTCAGATGTTTTAGTAACTTGCAATGCTAGCTCCTCTCTCCCCCTCCTCTTCCTCAATAACTGCAAGGCCAAGGAAGATGTCATTCCATTATCATTAGGGAGCGATCCACCTTGATCGGGGAGACAGTGGTTGCGGGGACCCAGCTGTGTAGCTCTGGGAATCTAGCAAAGCAGTTTCAACTGCTCACTACTTCTGCCAGTCCTGTCCTTCGGACTGAGGGACAGATTACAAAGTCCCCTTGGATACATCCCCAATTTGCTGCAGTGCTGGGAATGGTCAGCATGATGATGTACTGCCTGGCACTGATCCCAGCTCTCCTTGTATATCCACCTTGTCAGCTGACATTCAATTCCAAACTGAGGTGACACAGATGGAGAGGAGGTACGGGACAGCAGTGTTGATGCCAAAAGGCCCACCGGGATCTATAGCCACGGGGGTCACTGACTTAAGAGTAGCTATTCATCAGAAATCCCATGTGTGGGTGTGACTGTGTTCTTCAGTGAGTAACTTTGGTTCTGATAAAGAGGTGGAAGTGGGAGGGACTGGGATGGGAGAAGATAAAATTGTATATGAGTTTGATGTTGCCTAGTGAACTTTTAGAGCAGTCTTTTCTTGCATGATCTAAGTCTTGGACTGCTGATAGTATCTACTAATTGTAAAGCAAACACTCAAAGTTTGGCCAAAAATGTCTTCAAGGTGTTTCTTCGTTATTCCTGGATACAGGTGGCTAGCTGGATGTACTCGGGCTCTGTGTGCTCAGGCAATTCTTTTGGATTCTTCAGGTTACCCTCTGATGGTAGGGGGATGTTATTAGGGAGTGGTGTAATCATGGGCCATCTTGGGAAGACAGTCCATGGGTCTTTCTGAGTGGGCAAATCACATGGTTTGGACTGAAGAAAAAATATATACCCACAGTGGATTCATTTTCCTACCACTAGAGTCAACTAAGTATCAGAGTGAACAACAGGGCAATCCGTTTTTTAGCTAACGTTCCTCTTCTTAGTCATTCTCCTTGAGCTTCACCTGCAGAGCTCACAGAACCTGATTATGGGGACCTGGGCTGACCGGGCACTAAGACAAATGAGATAATCATCAGCTCTCCCTCAACCAGTGAGGCCTTGGAGGAAACACACCCGAGCAGGGCCTCTCCTTCAACAATCCTGCCTTCTGTGTCACTGCTGGGGGAGGGCGAGGCTCCTGGGAGCCATTAAGCCCCTACTTGGCTCATTGCTCAGGAGGGTGGGACAGCACGGGTCCTTTCCATAGAAACATCAACACAGTCTAACCAGAGCAATCACTGGACCTACCTGCCTCCAAGGACCTCCGAAGCAAAAAAGTGACCATTGATCAGGAGAGAGGAAGCAGGAGTTCTCCCAAGCTAGTTGAGGAAGAGGACACCGCTGACTGGGACATTTTATAAGTCTTGAGAACGCTTTCAAAGGGGCAAAATGAATCGATTCATTTCCACTGCTAGAGGAACCTTTCCACAGGCTCTCAGCAAGCTGCCCCTGGAGATGTTTAAAATGTGGCACTGGTGAGGAACAGGCTCTTTTTACTGCAGGGAAGAGCCCCAAATGGGCCTCCTGGGGATGAGAGCTTCCGGAACCATCCGGAAGGCCTTTTAATTAGCAGGAAATCATGCTGTTCTCAGGAACCCTTCCCAGAACTTACAAGCAGGCAAGGTGACCCCCAGGCAGCTCACAACCCTGTGCCCCACAGATGGGCTGACACTTAAACCGTGAATGCCCCACATATGGAAGGCACCAGAGGGAGGTGGGGGAAAGCTCAGAATGCTGAAGGGAGGTTGTGAGTCCAGCCATTGGCAAGACTTTAAAAACAAACAGGCCGAGCTAGTCAATATTGCTGTTTCTAGACGTTCCTCCTGTGGTTGAGTTAGTTTTATATAAATAACAATATTTAGGCACTATAGGAGGGTATTATAGGATCAATTGTAACCACTTTGAATAGGAGCAGGAATCATAGAAAGGAGGCTCTTCTGGGAACTTAATTCAGAAGTATCTTCTAATTTCACCAGGTTGTCATTTAATGAGATGGACCACCCGTGTGGAGTCAGGATGTCTTATGACAGATTTATCATAGTGTATAAAAAGAGCAAAACCATGAATAATGTCACCTTATTTGTTTTCCCAGAGATTTCTCTCCAGAGGATCTAGCCTCTCTGGGCTTTGGCCTTAACTTTGTGTGTACCGCTTACCATCTCTGCTGCCAGGTGGTGAGGTCCTAAGTCTCAGCTCGTGGAGTTTGGGAGGGTTTACAGTGTGGACACTGCACTCCAGAGACTTTGGATAGGAGGTAGACCTGGTAATCAATCCTGAGTAAAAGTCGGTCACTCAGAAAGCATTTTGGTAGCACAGAAAGGGAAGCTATTTCTGTTGAGCTATTATTTTTATTTCTCTCCTTGAACTGTCACATGACTTATTTTGGGTGAGGTAAGTGGAAGGCAAGACAGGCCCAGAATTCTTGAGTTGAGTTTACCCATCTGTTTAAAACTGCCTACTTCTTAGTTCACCCCGAAAAAAAGCTCTCAATGAGATTTAATAACTGTATACAGTGAACTAGAAAGTAAACTTTGGATTACTCCAGAACATAATTCCTTCTTCTCCTGAAAAAGGAAATTGAATTCCTGGTAACTTCCGAATCATAGATGTGTGTCTCATCTTTTAAACAAGGGTTGTGTAGGTATTTGTAGTGTAGTGCACCTGGTAGTGGACCTGGCATCAAGCAAATCAGTTTCCAAGTAGGAAACAGTCAGTCAGTTAATTTGGCTACACGTTCCCAAATTAGTTCCGGCCTCCCAGTAGATGGCACCATCCCTGGAGTTCCTTTCTAGTGCTGGTGGGGCCAGACAGGCTCTGGATCTTTTCATCAAAAATATGCCACTCCAAGAATGAGGTCTGGCACTTGTTGGATGAAGCAACATCATTGCTTCACGCACTTGTGCTTAGGGGTGGACATTCCGCAGATAGACAGTCACAAGTCACATGGGTTGGAGCATGTCTGAAATAGACAGATCTTGGCCGTCTAAGAGTCTCAGGAATCAACAGAGCCCAGGCAAATTGTCTGATAAAAGAGGCCAAGACAGACAGAAGCTATGGGTCTATCTGGTAAGAGTTCACCATCACTAGCACCTAAAATCAAGTTGTTCTAGAATCAGTAGGTATCTAATAGGTACTTCTGGGGTTCACAAACTCCATTCTTCATTGGTCCAGGAGACAGCTCAAATGCACGGTGAACCAGGACACTGGCATGACCTTGCATGGAAAGTGGAAACAGTTACTTATGATCGAAACTAAGTTCAGTGATTCTTGAGAATAATTTTTAAGATATACACATCACATCTATATTATACATATATATGACATTAAGAAGAATCAAGAAATCATTAGGTAAAGAAATGTGTGTGTGAAACACAAATTCTGCTGTCAGGAGACCCTGAGTGACCTTGCCATTGGCCTTGGGGCCCTTCTGCATACAGAACAGTGACTTGTATCCCTTGCCCTCTACCATTCACATTAGCAGCATGTGCTCACGTCATCAATGCCTTCTCTTCTCCCTTCATCAATATTTCTCACCCAGCTTGGTTCCAGGACACTTGCTCTCATTATTAGGTGTGAATCAAACTGGCAAAATTTTATTTAATGTTAAGGAAATGAATCCGTTCTCCTCCCCCACACTACCAAAATACATAAAACATTGCCTCAATGAAGGTGTGGGCTAAACTGTAATTTCTATCAAAGCAATCTTTTTTTTTAAACACAGTTTTAAAGATACATTCATCTAAGGTAGTTTGTATACAGCCAAAGATGTCATACTATTAATTATGAATATATTTAAGATATAAACCATCAGGCCAGGGATATAACTCTGTTGGTACAGGGCTTTCCTAGCGTATCTGAAGCCCTGGGTTAGATCCCCAGCATCACATAAACTAGGTAGGGTAGCATATGTCTTTAATCCCAGCACTCAAGAGATGAAGGCAGAAAGGTCAGAAGTTCAAGGACACGTTCAGCTACATAACAAGTTGGAGACCAGCCTAGGCTACATGAGACCTTGTGTTAACACAAAACAACAAAGCAAAACAAACAAACAAAAAATATCCAGCTGATGTCTGAATTTGTCTTCTTTTCTGGTCACCTGATCATTCTAATTTATAGGTGGAGAGTTAACTAATTTAGCAAACAATGCCTAGCTTTTCAAGCATTTCATCTAATATAGACACTCCAAATGATGGTTACTTAATTTTCTTGAGACCTTTTAACTGTGGTAATAACAAACCTTGCTTTCAAGCCTTAATAAATGTAAAATGCCTTTTAATGCACATAGATCTGAGTGTTTTCTTCATGACCTCGAGTCAGTTACAAATATCTTCCTAGTCTTGACTGGTATTGACTGATTCCAATAAAGTTGGTTTATTTTCAAATATTACAAAAGTGATCTTTAGACTTCTTTGAAGGGGTATTTCTTATACTGTTTTCATTGACAAGTATGAAATATCTCCTTTTTTCAATAAAGGTTATTTTATTTTCCCATTATAAGAAAAAAGTGGTTATTTTCTTTAAAAAAAAATCAAAAGCCTATCCTACTGGCATGTGCCACCACAACAGAGAGATGGCTCAGCGGTTAAGAGCACTGACCGCTCTTGCAGAGGACCAGGGTTCAATTCCCAGCACCCACATGGTGGCTATGAACCATCCTTAACTCCAGGTCCAGTGGAATCTGAAACCCTCTTCTGACCTCTGCAGCATTGCACGACACGGGTGCACTCACATACACGCAGGCAATACACAAATATACATAAAATAAAAATAATAAAATATTTTAAGTGAAAAAAATCAAAAGCAAAAATAAATATAAAGAAAAGGAAGGACTGGGAGGTGTGGGACTGTGGCAAAGCCCCCTGCCTAATAGGCACAATGCCATAGTTTTGATCTCTGGGACAGAAAGAAATAAAGAAAAAGGGAGGGGGGAGGAGAGAAGAGAAGAGAGGAG